GATTAAGCGAAAATATATCAAAGTTATTTATATGCACTGAAAAATAAATTGGGTGTAAAACTCCAACTTGAACTGAAATTTGCGAGGTTTAACACAGGTAAACGGTAATTTCACTCAATAACAATATAACATGCACATCAATAACAGCTATAACAATAAAACACACATCAATAACAGCTATAACAATAACACGCACATCAATAACAGCTATAACAATATAACATGCACCTCAATAACAGCTATAAAAATAACAAACATCAATAGCAGCTATAACAATAACACACACATCAATAACAGCTATAAAAATAACAAACATCAATAACAGCTATAAAAAAACACACATCAATAGCAGCTATAACAACAACATGCACATCAATAACAGCTATAAAAATAAAACACATCAATAACAGCTATAAAAATAACACACATCAATAGCAGCTATAACAATAACACACACATCAATAACAGCTATAACAATAACACGCACATCAATAACAGCTATAAAAATAACACGCACATCAATAACATCTATAACAACAACATGCACATCAATAACAGCTATAAAAATAACACACATCAATAGCAGCTATAACAACAACATGCACATCAATAACAGCTATAAAAATAAAACACATCAATAGCAGCTATAACAACAACATGCACATCAATAACAGCTATAAAAATAACACACATCAATAACAGCTATAAAAATAACACACATCAATAGCAGCTATAACAACAACATGCACATCAATAACAGCTATAAAAATAAAACACATCAATAGCAGCTATAACAACAACATGCACATCAATAACAGCTATAAAAATAACACACATCAATAACAGCTATAAAAATAACACACATCAATAGCAGCTATAACAATAACACACATATCAATAACAGCTATAACAATAACACGCACATCAATAACAGCTATAACAACAACATGCACATCAATAACAGCTAAAACAATAACACACACATCAATAACAGCTATAAAAATAACACACATCAATAGCAGCTATAACAACAACACGCACATCAATAACAGCTATAAAAATAACACACTTCAATAACAGCTATAAAAATAACACACTTCAATAACAGCTATAACAATAACACACATCAATAGCAGCTATAAAAATAACACACATCAATAACAGCTATAAAAATAACATGCACATCAATAACAGCTATAACAACAACGTACACATCAATAGCAGCTATAAAAATAACACACATCAATAACAGCTATAAAAATAATACACATTAATAGCAGCTATAACAACAACATACACATTAATAGCAGCTATAACAACAACATACACATCAATAACAGCTATAACAATAAAACACACACATCAATAAAAGCTATAACAATAACACTCATCGTCAACTACAGCAGCGATAACACCAACAATATTGCATGAACAACAACTGTAACTACAACAATAACAGCAGCGTTACAATAACAATGATCCAATAATCAGCCGGAGAACAGAAATGAACACATTTTTCAGAACGCAAAACTTAAGAATAACGAAAAGAATATAAACAAACTGTCGAAAAACTTTTTCGAAAACATGACTGAGAATCCTACTTCCAGTTTAAGCGAACCTAATTCAGACTTCCAAGGAACTTTTAAATTCCCACAACATGATTCAAGCAAAGAAAAAGGTAATATCGATCGACAACCGGGAATTTTTTCAGGGAAAACCCGCATCAGATTACAGAGTTCGGATGAACATCAAGATGCCTTTGTGCGATCACATTCTTACCGAGGTCAAAGGAACTCTGGCAACCTGATATTAAATCAGCCTGTTGGCCGCATTAATGATAAATTAATCATTAATGATAAACTTGTGCCACAGAGCACAAGTTTATTGGAACTAGAAAAAATAAGCGCAGATGGAACTTTGGACAACCAAAGAAACAATTTTAAAGTTGAAAAAATACAAAGTAATTACCCCGTGTCAACACAATACGATGGGAACACAGATACACATAATGATAACAGTTTTACATCTATTGACGAGCTTTCTGTCGTGAAACAGGAGAATTTGTCTCCTGAACCTCATATATACGAGTTCGGTCGAGGCTTGGACCACAGGGATCCTGTCTTCTGGCGCTCCGCTGCCTCTTTCCATGACGAGAAAGAAAGAGATTTTAGTAGAAATGTAAGTGTGAATGATAACGGCCATAATGGTAGTGTGGAGGGTAGCGGCAACAATGATAGTGTGAACAACGGTAGCATTGACAGCGGTAGCGGGAACATTGGTAGCTTGGGCAATGGTAGCGCGAACAGTGGTAGTGTGAATAATGGTAGCGGGAACAGTGGTAGTGTAAATGATGTTAGCGGGAACAGTGGTACTGTAAATGATGTTAGCGGGAACAGTGGTACTGTAAATAATGGCAGCAGGAACAGTGGTAGTGTAAATAATGGTAGCGGGAAAAGTGGTAGCTTGGCCAATGGTAGCGTGAACAATGATAGTTCTTTCATCAAGGCTCATGACACAAAAGTCGAAAATGAACCTAGTTTTTCGCGTAATATTCTGCGTGCATCTCCACCGTCTACGAAAAACACGAAAAGTTTAATTGAAAACCTACGAAGAAAAATGTTCGACATTTTCCCTGAGAGAAACGAACATAATTTAGAACTTGAACAATCAACACCTGAGAAAATCGATGAACAGAAATTTGTTTCAATATTCACTGACAAGAATGTCCACGATATCCACCTCCGAAATGTTCAAAATGCCGCAAATTCAAAATCTCATGAAGCATCCATTATGAAGCTAACGGGTGTTCCTTTAAACTCGATGTTCACATTCCCCAATAATGGCTTTCAAGCAAACATTTTTCACACAAATTTCAGTGGAACTCCATTACCTTCACCGTTTTTATCTAGCATAATTACGAGATTGCCTCCTCAAAAGAAATGTTTCCAAGGCAAACATTCTTGGTTCTGCCTCCCTGAACTTCAGACATTACAGCCTAACTTTGATGTTGAACATCAAGGTTTAGCTGTGATGGAACCACATGCCGGTGATTCAAACAAATTTACAATCAAACCAGAGGCGAATAAAGAAACTTGGCCCCAACAAGCAACAGACTCGCGAATTTTAAACAACACTGAAACGCAAAACAAGTTACAATTCGACTTAAAATCAAAAATTATTTCTAATATAGTTCCGATCTCAACTTTGGACCTAAGTCCGAACTATTCTAACTCACAGTCAAACAATTCAAATATCACTCAAAATGAACTAAATTCAGGTTGTTTCGGCCACAACTGCGAAGCGAATCTAGCATCAAATTCTTTTAAAATGGAAGCAAACCCAACATCTACTTTGCTTGATGTGAAATCACCATCGACCGCTTCATCCACGAATATAAAAACTGAAAAAACTTTATCTGAATCAATTCAATTTAAAAACGACCATCCGCATCTCATGCAGAAGGACTCAAAGCTTGTAAGAAAACTTTCGACCAACGGGTATGCGAAATGTGACCATCCTTTCCATTCATGGATATGCGTTGGAATTGGGAGAAATGGGTCGACAGAAAATAATCGTGCTTCTGGCGAAAAAAATGTCGTAAGTATTGAAAAAGTTCCAATATCTTCAAACTTTCATCACAATGACACGGATCACACAAAACCAACAGAAAACCTAAAAGTCCTTGAACATACTTCATCAGAACTGAGTTCTCAATTGAGTAAGTCCGACCCTAAATGTTCACATGCTTTTCGCAGGTGGTTATGTCCAGAAAATCAGGTTGTTTTTAGTAAATTGTCAACTTCTAGTCCCGCGAAAGATCTATTCCTACAAATTCATTCCTCTACTGAATCACCGGCACACATTTCCAATCGCGGAGATACCTTTGATTTCGCAATATTAAATAACAATCCTTTGAAATCAATGGCACAAAAACCAATTCAAAGTGAGAAGCTCGCTAAAGAATCGCAAATAAAAAGTTCATCTAAAGTTGACACTCCCATTAATGGACAGTTTGAATCGCCTCCACTAGAAGTTGAGAAATCTGACTTTGACGAGCGCCCTTCAATAAATAAAATGGTAATAATGTCATCACAATCAAATAATAAAAATATTAACCCTCCTCCAAAAAGAAATGAGAAACCGAACTCGACTGGAACTGGAGACCATGGAAATAGCGCGGAGAAATTAAAATGCTCCCACCCTTTCCACGCATGGTTGTGCCAAAAACCAATCCGAAATCGGTTATCATCTTTGGCAGTTCCCACAAAACTGCGAATTAATTTTGATTTGAAACAATCTATGTCTAATTCCGATGAAAGACCTCATTCAGAACAATCAACAACCACCACATTAGACCTTAATCCGGAAATTTTTGTTGCCACAACAACCTCGCCAACAAAACCAAAAAATGCACCAGAACCTAAGATTATCGGTGGAAATGTCGCTAAAGATTCCTCAATCAGAGTTTCTCATAATGACATTTGTAAACATCCCTGGCATTCCTGGATGTGCCTTCCCACGCACTCCAAAACGTCTACTGAACACTCGCAATCACTTCCAATAAGAAATTCAAGTCGCAAAGATTCTCCAGGAAATATCACAACTAAATCATTTACTTCAAATGTCGACAGCGATACCTCAGCTTCTAAAGAACTCTGTTCCCACCCTTTTCACTCCCAATCTCGGTCATGCCAAGAAAATGCAAAGCACTCTACGCATTCCAATACTGAACTTTCTGCGGACGTTCTATCTTCATCTTCAGGGCCAGAACAATTCCAAGTATCGCTCTTTCTGCGCAGCAACTTCGTAACATCAACTTCAGCTCCCACCTTCTCAACGACATCGCGGGTTCCGAAAAAACAAAATGACAAAGATGAAAAAGTTTTGCAAACTACTGGAAAATTGGAAGTTGGTCATAACCCGATTACCGCAGTGGAAATATCTGAAAAGCTACACCAGCCTTCATTGGTCACTCAAACTACCGATTCGTTCAAAAAGGATGATCCCTGTTTGCATGCTTTTCATTCCTATTTGTGTGAAAGAATTCCAACTACATCACCTATGCCTATGCCAAGTGTTGTACCTCCATTGCCACTAGCACCTCTACCTTTGCCTTCACTAAACATAGGTAAAACTTTAGAAGAAGATAACCCTGAACTCACGCCAGTCAAGTATCCAAAAGTTGATAAGTGTAGCCATCCTTTCCACTCCTGGCTATGCACTGTAGCGGAAAAGTTGAGTTCGGATACAAATAAAAGTCTGGGTGGAGACGACTCTTTGATTGACAGTGATAGGTTCTTACTGAAAACTTCAAACTTACCGAACATTCGCGAACTGCCACTCGACGACGGAAGTTCTACAACACAAAGCGACGATTTCTCCGAAAACTATCATTACTTGAACGCTGCACAATTGGCCTATTCAACCAAACACTGGGAAGACTTGAAAAATTCCAATTCATACGCGAATTTTGCAACAACCACGTCTCGCCCCATTCGCGTGTTGACCACTTCACCACCCAGTCCAAGGATAGGTGCTAGAGTAGTACCTACCCTTCCTTCTTTGGTTGAGAAGGAAGAGGATGAGTCTACTCCCAACCCCACGACACCTCTAGGGTTCTCTTTTGTGGACTCACGAGGGGAGTTTACACGGACAGCGCCCTTTAACATCCATTATGACCTATTCAATCCACCAGTACCTATCAGCTTCAGCGCACATGATGCATCAGCATTACCTCCTCGTCCCATTAGAGAAGTCGGTAGAAAGTCTCGGTCCGAACTTACCAGGCTAATTCAACGGAACGAAAACCTTCGAACGGCAGGCAACAAGCACGACAAATATTCTTTGAATATAACTTCAAAAACTCAACTAACTTCCCCTGTTCACTTTTCTTCCATGCAAGTCCCGGATGCAGGGTCTCGTTTAGAAGTCGAAGGTGGATTCAGTCCAAGTTCCCATTTTGGGATCTACCGCTTTCAGCCTTCGCATTTTCTCCCATTTCCTTCAATTACTAACCAGCAAAACTTTACGATTAACGACAGAGAACCAACGATTATTATTGAATCTCATTTTTCCGACAGTGTTCCCAGTTCAACGATGGCAGATGACGAATCTTTTGTCGTTGAAAGACACCAGACAGGAAATGCAAATGAAGAGAAAACTACAACCTCAGGAATATATCGAAGCGTTTCACCGGACTCTGTATCTCCTCTAAGAGAGAATCATGATTTTGGATCCCAAACGCTCGAATTGGAAATATTGTGGCCAACTTCAGACGGTTCCAGGTCAGAAGGAAGCACCTCGTTAGGGATGAAATCACTTAATCAAGCAACTAAATTCATGCCATCCACACGGGACAGGCGGAATGACGGCGATTCTCAACGAAATTTCGTGCCGTCTAACTTTCCTGGTTTGAGAGACGCTTCACGCATGCGCCATATTCTTGGACAAACCTTTAAGGACAAAGATTTAGGCAGATCTCAATTTAAAATTGAAAATACTTTCCATGTAGATTCAAGTAAGATAAATAGTTCTGTTCTACCAGGAAAGATTTCCCGATATTCCCGGCACCCACTTGACGATAGGCCCCAATTACCGTTGGACTCAAAATTGGATTGGCGATTCCCGCCAGCAAATCAAGCACTTCCGCTGCCTATGACGGGTAGAGGAAATAGTTTTCTTCGGGATTTTTCTAGCGGTGCTGCATCAGAATCGCAGGATTTTTCTAGTGGTTCAATATCAGAACCGCAGGATTTTTCTAGAGGTTCAATTTCAGAACCGCAGGATTTTTCTAGAGGTTCAATTTCAGAACCGCAGGATTTTTCTAGAGGTTCAATTTCGGAACCGCAGGGTGTTTTTAGAGGTTCAATTTCGGAACCGCAGGATTTTTCTAGAGGTTCAATATCAGAACCGCAAGATTTTTCTAGAGGTTTAATTTCGGAACCGCTGGATTTTTCTAGAGGCTCAATTTTGGAACCGCTGGATTTTTCTAGAGGTTAAATTTCAGAACCGCAGGATGTTTTCAGAGGTGCAGCATCAGAACCATCTGAGTTTCTCCTTCCTCCTCCTTTTCCCTCAGAAAATTTTGATCAAATCCTCAATCGAAGTTGAATTCAAAAATTATTTCGCTTAAAAATGTATATCCTGTATTCATCATTAAATATACCTTCTGATTAGCTAGACAGTCTTGACTGTAGTTAGATATCCTGCAACTAGATTCTAGATAATTTTGTAGCGAATAATTTGAGAACTGAAGATAAATATGAAATAATTGCTTGCTCTCTATGCTATTTGATTGATTATTTTCTTATTGTTGATTGATCGTTAATTATCTGTTATATTATTGAATAAGATATAGGTTTATCCTCGAAACGATAATGTGACATTTGTATAAAAATGCTGGTCAATCTTACGTCTAATTTTAAGGCGATAAGTGATAAAGTGTTTGTTGATTTACAAGTTAATTGCTTAATTTCTGCAACTTGGTGATAAGTAGATTTTTGCTTTTGTTTATAAAGTATTTTTTGACACATCTATTGCCGTTATTATTCTTCTTATTTCTCTTTCCAATTTAATCTCTATTTTTAATGTTAAATATTTTGTGATCTTTTTCAAATACCAATAATAAAGTCAAATATTTTTTAACACCAATAATGGTGTTAAGCTCGATGAATAATGCTTCAATAATAAATAATTTTGCTGCATTCAGGAAAAAATTTCTATACGACAATAGGCATCGAAAGAATTTAATTCAATATTAAACAACCATGATCATTAAAATGTATTTGTTATTGTGAAATTTGTAATGATGGAGAAATAAATCGAATATCGAATTATGTCTATGTTATGTTAAAAGAACCATTAAGACCAAACCTAATAAAATAGTTGTTTATTATTGCCTCTGAATATTTTTGTTATAATTATCAATAAATAATATTGTCGTTGTTATTGCTTACATAAATTAATAATAAAAGTTAGGCTAGAATAACATCGTTTCCCTCGCATTCGTTGTTAATAAGCTCAGTTTTTATGCCGATTATTGCGGTAGAGATTGATCATTTAAACCCAGCGTAATTTTCACTATTAATTGTACATTGATCATTCAAATCCAGCTTTATTTGTACTACTAATTGTACATCAATCATTTATATCCAGCGTAATTTGTACTATTAATTGTACATTTATCATTTATATCCAGCGTAATTTGTACTATTCATTGTAAAATGATCATTCAAATCCAGCTTTATTTGTACTACTAATAATAATTGTACATTAATCATTTATATCCAGCGTAATTTGTACTATTAATTGTAAATTAATCATTTATATCCAGCGTAATTTGTACTATTAATTGTTCATTAATCGTTTAAATCCCGTGTAATTTTTACTATTAACTGTACATTAATCATTCGAATCCAGCGTAATTTGTACTATTAGTTTTACTTTACCTTCAATTCTTTCATAGTGCCTAAGAGTAGAATTTATTGATTGTATGTTCATATAAAAAATTTACTTGAATTTTCATGAAATTGTGTGCATTATATTAATATTATTGCTATTTAGAAATTTCCTATCGCAACTAATTATTTATAAATTTCGAGTAGGTCTGCCATTGCGCAAATAAAATTTCATTTTTCATTTTTTTTCCATATCAAAGTTTCGTTCTTTCGTTTCAACCTTCATTATTCATTTGCATTACAGTTTGATTTGTTATCTTTAATTTCTTTCTATCGAAAATTTTTTTTGTACAATTTTCACATTTTATATTGCTGTGTAGCATTGTTCGAAATGTTTTACTTATTGTTACTTATTGTAGCTTGTGTATCAATGCTGTATAACCTTATTGCTTTACCTGTATACTTTTTCTGCTGTGTGGAATCCTGTATTATTGTATTGTAATGGCATTCCAGTGTATTATACATGTTATACATTTTAAAAGCCGTCATGTTTACTAGGGTTGTTTTATATTAAACAAAGTGATTGTCCCGAACGTCTTTTTTATTGTCCTGAACGTTAAAATTATTTCTTTCTAAAAAACTAAATACATAACTAAAAAACTAAATAACTAAACTAAAAAAATGTTAAAACGAAAGTTCCTCGGCCGCACACCAAAAAGTTAAAAACTTGACTTAAAAATATTAAAAATATTAAATGAGTGTTCTATTCAAGAACAACATGCGATAAAATTCAAAAATGCAGAATTAGTGTTTAATTAATAATTTAAAATGAATTTTTAATTTGCTCACTATTAAACTAACAGATAATGAGATTTGAGCACTTATTAGATAAACTCACAATTTTAATAAATTGCTAGCTGCGTTTAAAATTATGTGAATATTATTATTCATACCGAAATGATGAGTAAATATGTTAATATGTTTACTACATAAGAAAATTATTCTCACGCAATGAGGTAATATTAAAAATCGACACCCATAAAACAGAAGATTTTTCCAGCACATTCTCTCATGAATATCAACAACGTGAAAATAATTCATCAAATTTATTTTATAGTGTAGAAAATTTGTCTAACTCTGCTCTTGTCATTTCTTGTGGAGTTTTTTTTTTTTTATTTTTGCCCTCCTCTGAAAATGACCAGTGCGATTTAACTTTGAAATTTTTCCTAACATTTTTCGGAAACTAGGAATATATAACATTTTTATACGTTGAAAGTCAGCCTGTCAACATTTTCTAATCTCTATCACGTTTTTCTCAAGATTTTTTCAGGCCAATTTTTTTAAATTAACCAGTAGACAAGGACAAGAAACATTCAACGAAAGAAGCCAATTTTATTCCAATTATCGTAATATAATATAATTAACTTCTAAAATTTTTTCTTAAAATTTCTAATTTAAAAACCAAATTTCTAATTTAAAAACACTTCGGGATAATTGAAAATTTGTTTTTGATAATTTTGAAAATAGGGAATGCGACTAAATTTATTCATTCAAGAACAATTAAAACCTAATCAAAAATTTGATTTTCACAGTGCAAACGCCAAGATTATAAATAATTGTAAATTTTATTGATTCGAAAACAAAGAATGAAAATCGAATTTTACCGGTTAAGTTTGTACCCGAATGTTTCCAATGATTATAGCTTGACATAAAATTCATTACTTCACAATACAACTTTTTCCGTAATTTCCAGTACAGAAAAGGCAAAACATTTTTTTATTTATTTTTTAGACTAGAAAAATAAGATTGGACTAGAAATTTTTTACTTCACAATACAACTTCTTCCGTAATTTCCAGTACAGAAAAGGCAAAACATTTCTTTTTTTATTTTTTAGACTAGAAAAATAAGATTGGACTAGACAAACTAATTGACATCGTAAGTGCTCTGAATTGATAAATAATTAAATATAATATGAACAATTATTAATTATTAAATTCATTATAATTAGTATTATTGATTGCTTGGTGATAATTTTAATGCCCAAAGGGGCGGCTGAGGCTCGAAATACCAATTCAAATTCAAATTTATAAATTAAATATTAAATTTAACAGTCGATTGGGTCATGATTTCATGACCACTCCCAACCAAATCCCCACAACCTATTTTTCCCCACTTCCATAACCCACCTATTTTTTTGCTCCCCACCTACTCCCCATACCTAGCCTCTTCCACCCCCATGCCCCGCATGCCTCACCCCCACATCAGCATCCCCCAGTTTGGAGGCATACTTGGGGATTGTATTGAAGTGATCCCCCCAATCCTCGTGGGGGGGACCAGCGCTGAAGCAGCTCTTCATCCCCAGGGGGGAGGGAGTGGTGGTCCAGTACAGCAGGTAGAAGTTGCACATCTCATCCCCACGGGTGTCGCTGGGGAGGCATATTAGTATAGTTATGCCCCAATATTTATAAATTATAATGAATAATAATATAATTATTATTATTAATAATATTATAATATAATATAAAAAATAATAATATTATTATTATAATTAAATAAAAGCATTTATATAATTCATATCTATACGCATTAAACACTTTTCTATCCCAGTTTAAAAAATAAATCGAATTTTGTAAATTTAGGAATTTTTACGCAATTTATATGTTTCAATTTTATAAAAAATGATCCTTGAATTCATTATTATTTTTGATCAATGTGAAATCTATTATCATTTTTGGCACTTTTATCGTAATGAGATAAATAAGTTTAAGAATAATAGGTTCATTGGTTATCGAGCTGGCTGAAATTTATTGATATTATGACTAATTGATCGTTTAGATGCCAGGAAATGTGATTATTACGTGATTAGTTCAATTTTTGAGATATATGGCATTCATAATAAAATAAGATCTTCACAGTTTTCAAAAGATAGAGAAAAATTTACAAAATAAAAAATTCTGGAGAATTTTGAAAAAAAAAATAATTTTTTGGCTAAATTTGCGTGAATATCGAAGAAGGGGTAAATGAACATAAGTGTGCATTGTGATCTTTGATTATGAATACAACAGATGAATATGTAACTAAATTAAATTTATTGAATGTGTGACTTCTAAACAAAAAAGAATCGATGTCTGTGCGCCCAATGGACTGAAATATTTTATGGATATGTTAAACAATTATTATTGCCAATAATAATTAAGATTATTTATTTTTTCACACCACTTATTATTTTATACAATCACACATTAAAATTTTTGTTTAAACGGTCATAAACATCATAAAGCAATTTGTCAGGCGATTGTGAAAACTTTCACTCTATTTATTGGTGTTAAATTTTTTTTTTCTATTTTTGGACTGTAATTTTCCAAACGAAATTTTCACTGAAACTTTGAGGCTCATTTTATTATGGAAATTAAAAGTAAACTGTAGTTCTAAAAGTATTTTATTTAAAATGTATATTCATGTTGTTCCACATGCGATAGGGGAAATAAATTTTACAATGAACGATGCTTGTAAAATTTAAAATCAGCATGAAGAATTCTGTTTGCATGAAATAAATAATATTATACTTAGCCATTTAAACTATAATTAATTATAAAAAATTAATAAGGAGTATTATGCTGCAGTCATTGTTGAGATAAAGATAAATTTTGTGATAAGGCGCTATTTTCTAAAGGTAAAAGAATTTTGAGGCTCTAAAGCAAATTTTGGGATTAAAAATATAAGATTCTGAATACATTTTGAGATTTGAAGTTAATTTCAAAATTTTGAGATTTTAAATCAAATTTAAAAGTTTCGTAAAAATTTTCAAGTTTCTAATTTAGAAAAGGAGATTAAGAGGAAAAATTCATTACTATAACCAAATATCAAACTAATATCATAGCAATAAAAAAATAGCTTTAACAAAATGTACGCTTCCGGCGTCCAAGAAAATAAAATAATGATTGTTTAACGATTATTAAAACGATTAAGCGAAAATATATCAAAGTTATTTATATGCACTGAAAAATAAATTGGGTGTAAAACTCCAACTTGAACTGAAATTTGCGAGGTTGAAGAGAAGTAAACGATGTTCTTACTCAATAACAATATAAAACGCCCATCAATAACAACTATAACAATAAAACATACACATCAATAACAGCTATAACACGCACATCAATGGCCGCTATAACAATAACACACATATCAATAGTAGCTACAACAATATTACTCACATCAATAACAGCTATAACAATAGCACAAACATAAATAACAGCTATAACAATAACACGGACATCAATAACAGCTATAAAAATAACACACACATCAATAACAGCTAAAACAATATCACAAACATAAATAACAGCTATAACAACAACATGCACATCAATAACAGCTATAAAAATAACACGCACATCAATAACAGCTATAACAATAACACACTTCAATAACAGCTATAAAAATAACACGCACATCAACACTCATCGTCAACTACAGCAGCGATAACACCAACAATATTGCATGAACAACAACTGTAACTACAACAATAACAGCAGCGTTACAATAACAATGCAATTTATGCAAAATAATACGAAAACGATTCAAGTAAGAAATTGTGAATTTACTTAATAATTAAAAAAATGAAGCCGAGAATAACAGTCATAGCAAAATAAATAATAATAACAATAATAACAATAATAATACGACCTCGTGTATCGTTGTGACGAACATGCAAAATACAACGACATTACAATGAAAAATATAATTATTTTCATTACCTGCTTGTAAATGTATAATAAATTAATGAATGATTATCCTATAATCCATGATAATCGCTGCGGTAATCATTATGTATCATCATAAATAGCGTAGTGCTACTAAAAATGATTTAATATAATTTATTTTATGTTTGGGGATATAATTTGTCCCAAAAACTGGGGATAAAAAGTACTGTTGGAACTAATACGGATTAATTATCTATGAACTTTTATATAATATTAGATTATTATTTATATAGAGGTATAGATTTAACTTATTTTCATGTAGTTGTTTACACGTTCTTCACTTACAATGCATACTTTTCTAATGCAGCAAGCATATCTTTTTTAATTATATTCGCATCCACTATTTCGCAATTTTTCTTCCTTCTATATAATAGGAATATCTATTTACCAATAGGGTTATCTATTAATTCCTTGAAGGTACAATTTATTACCCCAGTACGGCTTAAACTATTATGCAATGCAAAAATTTGACTACTCTCGTGGTAATTATCATACTTCAATATGATAAGATCAACTTGGCAATATTGATTAAACTCTTCAATTTGGTCCAATTTTTAAATCATGCATTTAATTCAATTTTATATTAGATTCCCTCACCCAATGCTGTATTTGTGCCCTCATTCACTGCTTCATTTAAGGTGCTTTCATTCACTGCTACATTTCATTTACTGCGACATTTCATTCACTGCTACATTTCATTCACTGCTACATTTCATTCACTGCTACATTTCATTCACTGCTACATTCCTTTTACTGCTCCATTTCATTCACTGCTACATTCCATTCACGCTACATTTCATTCACTGCTACATTCCTTTTACTGCTCCATTTCATTCACTGCTACATTCCATTCACTGCTACATTCCTTTTACTGCTACATTTCATTCGCTGCTACATTTCATTCACTGCTACATTCCTTTTACTGCTCCATTTCATTCACTGCTACATTCCATTCCCTGCTACATTTCATTCACTGCTACATTTCATTCACTGCTACATTTCATTCACTGCTATATACATTTTAGCTCTCATTCACTGCTACATTTCAATCACTGCTACATTTCATTCACTGCTCCATTTCCTTCACTGCTACATTTCATTCAATGCTACATTTGTTGCTCTCATTCCTTGCTACATTTCCTTCACTGCTACGTTTTTTACCCTCATTCCCCGCTACAATTCATTCACTGCTACATTTCCTTCACTCACTGCTACATTTGTTGCCCCCATTCACTGCTACATTTGGTGCCGTCATTACCCGCTACATCCCCCGCTACATTTGGTGCCGTCATTACCCGCTACATCCCCCGCTACATCTGGTGCACTTGCACCCCCATCTCGTGGGCAGTCTCCCCCTGGGGGAGGGACGAGGCATCCCCGTCAGGGATGTCCCTCAGGTCTCCTCCCCCCCACGAGTAGAAGGGGGGGCCGAGGGAGAAGCAGTTCTTCTGCTGCAGCGTCTCCCCCTCGGTGTGGTAAAGCAGGTAAAAATTGCACATCTCGTCTTTGCCGGTCGCGCTGGGGTAAATTGGGTAGCAGTTCTTCTGCTGCAGCGTCTCCCCCTCGGTGTGGTAAAGCAGGTAAAAATTGCACATCTCGTCCTTGCCGGTCGCGCTGGGGTAAATTGGGTGAATAGGGTAAGTTCTGGCGTAATTATTTCTCAGGCCCTCTGGGGTAAATTGGGTAAATTGGGTAAATAGGGTAACTTCTGGGGGTAAATGTTTCTTTAGAGCTCTGGGGTAAATTGGGTAAATAGGTAACTTCTGGGGGGTAAATGTTTCCCTGGAGCTCTGGGGTAAGTAGGGTAACTTCTGGGGGTAATTGCTTTTCTGGAGCTCTGGGGTAAATTGGGTAAATAGGGTAATTTCTGGCGGGATAAATGTTGCATTGGAGCTCTGGGGTAAATTGGGGAAATTGTGTAATAACTGGGGTGAAGGTTTCCTTGGAGTTCTGGGGATATGTGGGTAAATAGGAAAACTTCCGGGGGGTAAATGTTGCATTGGAGCTCTCGGGTAAAATTGGGTAAATAGGGTAACTTCTGGGGGTAAATGTTTCCCCGGAGCTCTGGGGTAATATGGGTAAACTTGTGGCGGGTAAATGTTGCATTGGAGTTCTGGGGTAAATTGGGTAAATAGGGTAACTTCTGGGGGTAAATGTTGCATTGTAGCTCTGGGGTAAAATGTGTAAATACGGTAACTTCCGGGGGCTAAATGTTTCCCATGCACTCTGCGGTAAATTAGGTAAATAGGGTAACTTCTGGGGTAATTGTTTCCCTGGAGCGCTGGGGTATATTAGGTAAATAGGGTAATTTCTAGAGGCGAAATTTTTCCCTAGTCCTTAGGGGTAAATTGGGTGAATAGGGTAACGTTTGGGGCACCCGTTTTCTTATCACGCTGAGGTCAATAGGGTAAATTTGGGGATAAAGGCTTCCATATCGCGATAGGGAGAATTGGGTAAACAGGGTAACTTTTGGCGTAAACGCAGCAGGCGAAGGTTGTAAGAGGTTGTGGTAAATTGTATGAGGCTGTGGTAAATTGTGTGAGGCTGTGGTAAATTGTGTGAGGCTGTGGTAAATTGTACGAGGCTGTGGTAAATTGTGTGAGGCTGTGGTAAATTGTATGAGGCTGTGGTAAATTGTGTGAGGCTGTGGTAAATTGTATGAGGCTGTGGTAAATTGAATGAGGCTGTGGTAAATTGCGTGAGGCTGCGGGAAATTGCACGAGGCTGACTTAGGTAAGGTGGTAAAAACATGCGTAAAACAAACAACAACATTTCACACAAGTGCGTAGTGCTCATTAATACGCTAGCTCACTACACATCAATCGCATACGCCACGAAATGTATACACTGTGTACAGGCGTACAACATGTGCGTATAAAGCGTACAAATAATTAATCGTATACGAGGCGCACTAAAACATGCAGTTTATTAAGCGGCAAGCAAATGATGTGCAAGTTATCAACGACCATTCAGTGTAGCTAATTAAGACAAAATATAAAAAATAACAATAAACGAATAATTTTTTCGATAATTAAATGTCAAAATTAACCAATTTTACAAATTAGTTTAAATCCGAAAATGGAAATTAGACAAAATTAAGCTGTGCATTTCTTCTTAGGTAATGATTATTTATACGATGCGTATCATTTATGAGTTTAGCAATAAATAAAATCAAAAACAATTAAAATTATTATTTACATTGATTATTAGCCTCACCCAATTAGGGTCACGGTGTCGCGGTCGCTGACCATCGTGCATCTGGCAGCCTGCAATAATTAAAATAATTGAATTAGTGAATAATTAAATTAATTTCACTGAAATGAATGATGAAGGCATATAAATATGCTGATAAATTGAAATGAATGATTAATGAATATAAATATGCCGATGAATGAAAATGAATGATTAATTGATATAAATATGCTAATGAATTTAAATAAATGAGTAATGAATAATAACGTACAATTGAATTGCAAATGAATAATCCATAGTCCCCACGTACCACACGGTCCCCCACGTACCACACGGTCCCCCACGTACCACACGGTCCCCCACGTACCACATGGTCCCCCACGTACCACACGGTCCCCCACGTACCACACGGTCCCCGCGGGTGAGGGTGGTGTTGGTGGCGATGGGGTAGAACATCTGGGGGAGCTGGGGGTCCTTCTTCCCCAGCAGCGTCCACTCGTCCTCCTGCCCCCGACGGGTGACCTTATAGCCGCTCACCACCCGCCCTGGGGGGTGAAGGGTTGGGGGTTAAAGGGTTAGGGTTAGAGGGTTAGGGGGTTAAAGGGTTAGGGATTAAAGGGTTATCGATGGAAGGGTTTAGCTTGAAAGAGATCGAAGATTTCGAGGTCAAGAGCTAGTGGTTGAAGGGTGAGGGGTTAAAGTGTTAGGGGTTAAAGGGTTGGGGGTTAAAGTGTTAAGGATCAAAGGGGTAGGGCCAAAGGGTTAAGGGTTAAAGGGTTAGGGGGTGAAGGGTTAGGGGGTGAAGGGTTAGGGGTTAAAGGGTTAGGGGTTAATGGGTTAGGGGTTAAAGGGTTAGGGGTTAAAGGGTTAGGGGTTAAAGGGTTAGGGGTTAAAGGGTTAGGGGTTAAAGGGTTAGGGGTTAAAGGGTTAGAAGTTAAAGGGTTAGGGGTTAAAGGGTTGGAGGTTAAAGGGTTAGGGTCAAAGGACCAGGGTCAAAGGGTTATATTGGAATGGTTACGGGTGAAATGGTTAGTTGTGAAAGGGTTAAGGGTGAAAGGTTTTATGGCTAATGTTAATAATAATGTTAGTTAATGGTACAAGGGAGCGGTGTGGTTGAAATGGTTAATGCTCTTTAACATTAGGCTGAAAATCTTACACCGTCTCAGTGGTTGTAATAATAATAATTGAATAATCGCTTATTTCTAATTATGTAATTATAATAATTAGGTCTCCACCAAACTTGAGGAATATGTTAATTTAACAATTAGTATTGACTGTAATGATTGCAGGTATGTGGGTTTAGTCGTCTGGTGCCCAATTATTATTAAAAGATTATTAAATTTACAGATTTCAGTGGGTAACTCACTACGGGAGGGTACAAATAAGCAACCCACCTAGTGAGTGGGCAACCCACCTAGTGAGTGGGCAACCCACCTAGTGAGTGGGCAACCCACCTAGTGAGTGGGCAACCCACCTAGTGAGTGGGTAACCCACTTAGTGAGTGGGCAACCCACCTAGTGAGTGGGTGTGGGTACGGAAGGCGAATGGATGTATAACTTTATCCTCCTCGATGGTGCAGGCTGTCTCCATGTACTCCACACTCTGGGGAAGAATGCGCCCCCCAGTGCCCAGCAGCAGCACCCCCGCCGACCGGGGCTGTCTGAAATATATATCAATATACCAATAGTGATTTTATATAATAATTACAGTATATAAAATTTAATATACTCGGCCCGGAGGCAAGGAATAGCACTTCTACACAGCAGCAGCAACATAGTCGACCGGGGCTGTCTGAAATATATATTAATATGCATATACTAATTTTATATAATCAAATATACGTATAATTATGTACATTCTACGCTCTGGGGGAGTATGCACCCCCCGCCCCAACCCTGGGGTAGCGCCCCCACCTGAAATATATATTAATATACTAATACTATTTGTAAATACTAACTAGAATGCGTATCTTTATAATGGCGCTTAAGTCTTCATTCATAATATAAATTATTCAAGATTAAAAATAAGGATAAACTTTATTGTGATTAATTAGGTACCAAATAATAATTTAGTACCAATAATTAAATTATTAGTAATGAATTATAATTATTTCCACACGTTATATACTAGTTAAAGTATATAAATCAAATATACTCTGCCCTGAAGCAACCAATAGCACTCCCATACACGCCGCCGTATTAATATATTGAAAATATTTCTACGAAATTGCAATTGATTTAATTACTGTCTGTAAAATTTAAATGCATTTTTACATGACCAAATTTCAATTGTTTACGAACATTTTTATCCATGCTGTAAGTTTGTTGAGAAAATTATCTCTCGACCGACTGATTGAGCTGAACAACTTGAATCGATTTCTGTGTACAATTAATTGAATTTTTTTCGTTAATATGTTTAATATGAATCACTTTTTCACAAATAATTCTATTATAAATATTATAATTAGAAGACAACTCACGGCTTCTCCTTGTAGTAGACGAAGACGCCTGAGTCGTCCGTGGCGCCGTCTGGAAATAATTATAATTAATTGCTAATAATTCAATTATTGGTACTAAATATTTATTTAGTACATAATTAATTACAATAAAATTTATCCATATTTTTATTCTTGGATAATTTTTATTATGAATGAGGACTTGAGCGTCATTATAAAGATACGCATGCAAAAAGCATGTGTGAACGCAATGCAACATCGGCATGTAAACCGAGGGTTTAAAACAGGCAAGATTGAAGAAAAAAGTTTCAGGTTCGAGCACCGGCTAGCTGTGAAAATTCTGGTCTATATCAGGTAAGTGGCCGGGTGGTTAAAAATAGCAAGATTAAAGCACTGAGCTGCGAGTTCGAGGCCCTGCAAGCTGTGAAAATTTTTCAGGTAGATAGCCGGTTGGTTATAAACAACAAGATTGAAGCAGTGGGTTTCAGGTTCAAGGTCTAGCTAGCTGTAAAAATTCTGGTCTATATTAAGTGGCCAGGAGGAGCAGGGTAGCCAGGTGGTTAAATATGCAAAATTGAAGAGTGATTTGTGGGTTCGATTACCACACACACAAGGCGCTGGTACCTCTGAAGGGCTCCATGGAGGCGTAGTGTACCTGGAGCACCAGGTACTTGATGTCAGAGCTCCGGCCCACCCTGAAGGCGACGCCCTCAGGCAGCAGCAGCGCAGGCGCGTCCATCGCCCACGCGTAGATTATCTGGGGGGCGATGATGATGATGTGATAATGATAATGCAGGTGGTGATGATTGAATGATTATGATTATATAATGATGATGATTGAATTATTTTAATGATATAATGATGATAATGATAGTGATACGATGATGATGATACAGACATGATGATAATGATAATTGAAAGAAGTACAGGAAGGTACAGGAAGGTACAAGAAGGTACAGGAAGGTACAAGAAGGTACAGGAAGGTACAGGAAGGTACAGGAAGGTACAGGAAGGTACAGGTACAGGTACACATGGCGCTGGTACCTGTGAAGGGCTCCATGGAGGCGTAGTGTACCTGGAGCACCAGGTACTTGATGTCAGAGCTCCTGCCCACCCTGAAGGCGACGCCCTCTGGCAGCAGCAGCGCAGGCGCGTCCATCGCCCACGCGTAGATTATCTGGGGGGCGTGGTGATGATGATGATTATGATGATTGAATTATGATTATATAATGATGATATGATTATGATTGGATGATTATGATTATATAATGATGATGTGATGATATGATGATAATGATACAGACATGATGATATTGATAATTGAATGATTATGATTATATAATGGTGATGATTGAATTATTATGATTATATAATGATGGTAATTGAATGATTATGATTAAATAATGATGGTAATTGAATGATTATCATTGAATGATTATTATTATATAAATTATATAATGATGGTAATTGAATGATTATGATTATATAATGATGGTAATTGAATGATTATCATTAAATTATGGTGATTATTGAATGATTATAATTAAATGATGGTGATGATTGAATGATTATAATTAAATGATGATGGTAATTGAATGATTATAATTAAATGATGATGATGACTGAATGATTATAATTAAATGATGATGATGATTGAATGACTATAATTAAATGATGATGATGATTGAATGATTATGATTATATAATGATGATATGATGATGATTGGATGATTATGATTATATAATGATGATATGATCATGATTGGATGATTATGATTAAATGATGATGGTAATTGAATTATTTTAATGATATACCGTAATGATGATAATGATAGTGATACGATGATAATGATACAGACATGATGATAATGATAATTGAATGATTATAATTATATAGTGATGATGATTGAATGATTGTGATTATATAATGATGGTATTGAATGATTATGATTATATAATGATGATATGATGATGTGATGATGATGATTGAATGATTATGATCATATAATGATGATATGATAATGATATGACGATAATAATGAAAATGATATGATGATAATTATGAGAATTATATGATGATGATGATAGTGATGGTAATGATGATGATATGATAATGACATGGTAATGATATAACAATATTATTGATAATCTATAATAACTGTCTCTTATACACATCTTTGCGATAAAGCNACCTGGGTGCCCTCACCTGGGTGCCCTCACCTGGGTGCCCTCACCTGGGTGCCCTCACCTGGGTGCCCTCACCTGGGTGCCCTCACCTGGGTGCCCTCACCTGGGTGCCCTCACCTGGGTGCCCTCACCTGGGTGCCCTCACCTGGGTGCCCTCACCTGGGTGCCCTCACCTGGGTGCCCTCACCTGGGTGCCCTCACCTGGGTGCCCTCACCTGGGTGCCCTCACCTGGGTGCCCTCACCTGGGTGCCCTCACCTGGGTGCCCTCAGCACATGTGGGTGCGGTCCTGAAGCCCGCGTTGCTCATGGCCATGCCCCCACAGTTCCAAAGGGCCTCGTCCAGCCCGGGGGCGGTGCACCCAACCACCAGCATGTGGTGCGCCAGGGCGCTCGTCGTGTTGGGTTGAAACCCGGCTGGAGGTAATATTTTAATTAATTTATATAATATTATTATATGAACAACTTGGAATTTTAATTAAGGGGCCAGGGCGCTCGTCGTGTTGGGTTGAAACCCGGCTGGAGGTGATATCCCAATTAATATATGTATAATATTAATGTGTGAATGACTAAGAATACGAAAATTTTACAAAAATATGAAAATATGGAACCCAGCTGGAGGTAATATTTTAATTAATTTATATATAATATAGTTGTGTGAACAACTAAGAATACTGAAACCTGGCTGGAGGTAATATTCCAATTAATATATATATAATATTATTAGATGAACGACTAATATACAAGATTATATAAAATATATGAAAATATAGAACCCATTTGGAGGTAATATTTCAATTAATTTAGATATATTATTAATGTATGAACAACTAAGAATACGAAAATTATAAGAATATAATTTCATTAGTTTCAATTTTAGTTTTCATGAAACAAATATGAAAACATGAAATCCAGCTGGAGGTAATATTCGAATTAATGATGAAGATTGAATATAATATTAATGTATGAATGACTAAGAATACGATAATTATATATAAATACGAAAAAATAGAACCCAGCTGGAGGTAATATTCGAATTAATATATTTATAATATTATTATAAGAATAACTAATACGAAAATTAAATAAAATATATGAAAACATGAAACCCGGTTGCAGGTAATATTGGAATTAATTTATATATAATATTATTATATGAACGACTAAGAATACGAAAATTATATAAAAATATGAAAACATGGAACCCAGCTGATGGTAAAATTCGAATTAATATATATAATATTATTATATGAACGATTAAAAATACAAAAATTATATAAAAATGTGAAAATATGGAACCCAGCTGGTGGTAAAATTCGAATCAATATGTATATTTTTAATATATAAACGACTAAGAAAATGATAATTGTATAAAAACTATGAAAACATACATGAATATGTAGGAATTCCAAAATAACATTTTAAATGAATACCTATAATATTAATATATGAACGACTTAGAAAAGGAAAATTATATGAAAAATATAAAAACACATGAATATGTAGGAATACAAAAATAATGTTTTAACAATATGAATGAAAATATTAAAATTTATGAATACTAAACACAATAAATGAATTTATTTACTATATGAACACAATAAATGAATTTATGGACATGTATGAATAAGCAAAACTACACTGTTAGAAAAATTACCATTAACGGAATTACCGGCGTTTCAGTGGCCGGTAGGCACGTGGAAAGAAACACCGTGTCGCCGTTTTTATGCTAATTTAACACTAGAAATCCGTAAATCATCTGATAAAAACGGCGAAACAGTTCATTTTCACGAGGCGACCGGCCACTAGAACGCCAGTGGGACCGTTTTTTTCACAGTTTTTTCTAACAGTGTGAATATGTTACTCACTGATGTAGTAGTCCATTGTAGGGTCTATGCGGATGGGGGTGCAGAAGTAGGTGTCGTCCTGGGGGGAGGGGGGGGGGAAATATTGGTCAAACAGCAATTTTTTTCGTTTAAATAAAGCCTATTGAGAATATGTTGTGATATAGAAGTCGTTTCCTTGACGTCTCGGACTAATTTACGGCCGAATTCGAGGCCAATTTTCAAATTCAATGATCAAGTAATATGCCCTCAGAGTGAGACAGACCAAACGACAGGCCTATCCAGGCCTATTCTTCAATGCCAAAGATACTATACTAGATACTATATCTCCCAAACTAATGAACGTATAGCTCGATGAAACTTTGAACACGTATTCATTAGGACCTTACGGTGATGTTTAGCTCGTGAAAATTTTTTACCATTTCACCTTCATTCGTGAGTTATAGAGCAATGCAAACCGAAATTCGCAGTGACCAAGACATTTCTTTTAAACTACTGAACAGATTTGAACGAAACTTTGAACATACATTAATAACCTTCCAGCGGTGATTTTTTCCCATTTCACTTTCATTCGTGAGGTATAAGGCATTTCGGTCCGAAATTATCAGTGTTGACATTCGGAGAAACGACCGGCATTTCTGAGGCCGATTTTTAAATTTGCATTGACAAGGAACCGTATAGTATAGCCGTATAACTCGCGAACGAATTAAGGCAAAATCGAACAAATTGTCACGATCTAAACATCACCGTTAGGAGGTTAGATTTGTATATTCAAAGTGTCATCTGAATCTGTTCAGTATTTTAGAAGAAATTTCATGGTCACTGAAAATTTCGGCCCGTATTACTCTATAACTCACGAATAAATGTGAAATGGAAGAATTTACATGAGCTAAACATCACAGTTAGGTTCCAATGAACAACCGGCTGCCAGTCCGGCTGGAAATTTGGCCGACTCCTATTTCAATTGTTCGAATAATACCTGTTAATGATAGGTAATGTATTGCAAAATTGTGTAGGTTCAATTAGCCCAAGCATCGGCTAGTAGCTTGTTGGCAAATTCAGTGCCGATGACAAGTCTATCCAAAAATTGTAATAAAATTTATTGCATTAGAAGTACTATTGAGAATATGTTGTGATATAGAAGTCGTTTCCTTGACGTCTCGGACATTTTTACGACCGAATTCGAGGCCAATTTCCAAATTCAATGACCAATTAATATGTCTCAATATGCCCTCAGAGTGAGACAGCCCAAACGACAGGCCTATCCAGGCCTATTCTTTAATGCCGAAGATACTATACTAGATACTATACTAGATACTATATACTATATCTCCCAAACTAATGAACGTATAGCTTTACTATACTAGATACTATACTATATCTCCCAAACTAATGAACGTATAGCTCTACTATACTAGATACTATACTATATCTCCCAAACTAATGAACGTATAGCTCGATGAAACTTGGTACTCGTATTCATTAGGATCTAACGGTGGTGTTTAGCTCATGTAAATTTTTTACCATTTCAACTTCATTCGTGAGTTATAGAGCAATTCAAACCGAAATTCGCAGTGACCAAGAAATTTCTTTTAAACTACTGAACAGATTTGAACGAAATTTTGAAGATACATTGATAAACTTCCAGCGATGATGTTTAGCTCGTGACAATTTTTTTCGGTTTTACCTTCGTTTACGAGTTTTTCCCATTTCACTTTCATTCGTGAGATATACGGCAATTCGGTCCGAAATTTTCAGTAAGTTATAAGTGTTGGCATACGGAGAAACGACCGGCATTTCTGAGGCCGATTTTTAAATTTGCATTGACAAGGAGCCGTATATGTATAGCCGTATAACTCGCAAACGAAGGCAAAATCGAAAAAATTGTCACGAGCTAATCATCACTGTTGTGAGGTTAGATTTGTATTTTTAAAGTGTCATCCGAATCTGTTCAGTATTTTAGAAGAAATTTCTTGGTCACTGAAAATTTCGGCCCGTATTACTCTATAACTCACGAATAAGGGTGAAATGGAAAAAATTTACATGAGATAAACATCACCGTTGGTTTCTAATGAATACGTGTACCAAGTTTCATCGAGCTGCGTTCATTAGTTTGCGAGATATTCACTTAATTTGGAGATTGGCCGTGTGACCGGTGGCCAGTCCGGCTGGAAATTTGTCCGACACTTATTTCATTGTTCGAATAATACCTGTTAATGATGGGTAATTGCAAAATTTAATGTTTAATTCTTTAGTTTAGTTTTTTCAATGTTTAATGCTTCTTTAACTTGAAAATGAATGTTTGTTGCATTCGAAACGTCGTTAATAAATAAGAATTACTTCCTGAAACTTGCCTTTTGATATACCGTTCAACTGAAGAAAAGTTCCATTCACTGATAATAGAAATCAACGAATTCTCTGGTCATCGATCGCACGTGTGTAAACAAGTAAATCCTGTTATTTAAAATAAATTGCAAAATTGTGTAGGTTTAATTAGCCCAAGCATCGGCTAGTAGCTTGTTGGCAAATTCAGCGCCGATGACAAGTCTATCCAAAAATTGTAATAAAATTTATTGCATTAGAAGTGTTAAAACTAAACATTCCGCATTACTTCGAAGCTAACGTTTATACTAAAACTTGTTTATACCGACTACTCACTAATTTGGTGTTCATTCGTTATTTGTAATTTATTATAATCACTTTTCTTTATATATGAATATAGATTAATTCGATACGGACATTTATTGATATGTCACTTACAACGTGTTATTGTACTCATTTCAGAAAGCGTTTAATGATAAAGACAAAAACCTGGTCTTCTGTTACAGTCTTTACGAACTTAGAGATTCTGCCCTGAGAATTGTTACAAAAAAGTTAAAATTATTTATTTTAGGAAATTTTTTTATGTAAATTTATGATGGATAATTTGGGAATACAAAATTATTTCGGTGATACAATTCATGAATACCTACTACAAAATTGTAGCTGAGTGTAATGTACCGTACATTTCATTTGTATCGGATTTACGTGTATTGGTATAGTGAGGCAGAAGTTCTTCCTTTATGTAAGTTTAATTGAGGACCATTGAATGCTTTTTATTTACAATTTTTTATTTAGTTTTTCCGATGAGTCGAACGAATTTTCTTCTGATAAAGATGTACCGGGGCCATACTTTCAAAATTCGCTAAGTGAACGTAAGTACTTACGCTCTATTTTCTTGTCTATGATTGGTGGATTTTGCTTGAAAGGCAGTCAATGATTGGCTGATGAACTTACGATCTCTTAACTTTTTTGAAAGTATGGGCCCAGGACAATTGTGTCTGATATAGGTTTACCATATGATTTTATATATGATTAGTCTGATATACAGTGGGTGCAAAAAGTATCCGACACAAAGGAAAAACTTTATTTAATTAAAGCTTATTCAACAAAATAACATAAACAAATACTATTCTAATATAAACTTACACGGGAAATACAAAAATCATATCAAAACAACAATAATATTAAATGTTGATTTTATTATTGCAATTTTGTAAAAATCAAGGTCCAAAAAGTATTCACCACAAAAAGAATTTGATTCGCCAATAATTTCTCAGTCATTATGTTCGGTAAAATATTCTAGAACCTGAAAAAAATATGAAGTTTTTCTTTTGTGTCGGATACTTTTTGCTACCACTGCTATTATTATTTTGCTATATTATCTGCTTAAAATGTGAAGTACAATAAGTGAAAAATTAAAGGACACGTAAGCTTGTGTCCACCATATGTTCGGCGGCGGGGGCTGCGCAGACGCGTCCTAAACGCGTTCGTGGCGCGCAGGTCACGTGTTAGCGACAGGATCGATGCGGTGATGACGTCACGATGACGTCACGATGACGTCATCACCGACACTTCTGATTGGTTCTTGTGCATCAGCCAATCAATAAATCAGCCAATCAATAAATACTTAATTATGGAATGATTGAAGAAGACAGAAACTCATTCACAGCAAAGTCAGCATATTTTTAATAATTATTATAATAAGACAAACGAAATTCTTATAATTAATTATTTTATAACTATTAGGATATTTACGCGTTAGAAAAGCAACGTCAATAATAATATATTATAATTGTCATGTTATAATTATATATGAGTAATGACATGAGTAAGTAAATATAAAATTAAAATTAATAACAGGCATTCTCTGGGATCTTCTCACGTTAAATTTTCTACGATTGTTAAATTCATTAACTGGCATTTAATTAATAACGGTAAATTATTAAGAACATAAAAATCAGTGATAAATATAAATGATAAGTTATTAATTTAAATTGATGAAAGTAGGTTGGTGGAGTAGCAAGAATTATGTTCCGTGGAAAGTTACAATAGGGGAACATAAGCGGCAAGTAAAAACCGGTTGCGTAGAAGAGAAAGCGACAGCTATTGTACTGTTGTGTTGTCGGCATAATAACGACCATATCTCATATATTATAACGGTAACGGCCTCTTTATAACGGCAATCATCCCGTTATAACAGTAACTGCCCCTTTATAATGACAACGGCCCCTTTATAACGGCAACGGTCCCGTTATAACAGTACGGCCCCTTTATAACGACAACGGCCCCCGTTATAACGGTAACGGCCCCTTTATAACGACAACGGCCTCTTTATAACGGTAATGGCCCCTTTATAACGGTAACGGTCCCTTTATAACTACAACGGCCCCTTTATAACGGTAACGGTCCCTTTATAATGGTAGCGGCTCCTTTATAACGACAACGGCCCCTTTATAACGGTAACGGCCCCTTTATAACGACAACGGCCCCTTTATAACGACAACGGATTACAACGGTAACAGTTCCGTTACAACGGTAACAGTTCCGCTACAACGGTAACCGCTCCGTTACAACAGGAACAGCTCCGTTACAACGGTAACAGCTCCGTTACAACGGTAACAGCTCCGTTACAACAGTAACAGTTCCGTTACAACTGTAACGGTTCCGTTACAGGCACAAAACGGTACGTTGACCCACAAGCAGAACTGCTTCTCCCTTCTATGCCATATTTTTCTCATTCATTTCGCAGTGCAGGCAGGAATAACATTATGACAACATTTCCCTTGTTTTCTCTGCTTTCTAACTCTTGATGAACATGTGAGTTAAGTAGGCTATTATAAAAGTTATTATAAAAAAATAGGATAAATCTGTCCGTGAAGTTTGCGCAGGAACCTGGTAGGAATAAAGGTAAGAATAGCATCACATGTAATATAGGTAAGAATAGCATCACATGTAATTCAGGTAAGAATAGCATTACATGTAATACAGGTAAGAATAGCATTACATGTAATGCAGGTAAGAATAGCATTACATGTAATACAGGTAAGAATAGCATTACATGTAATACAGGTAAGAATAGCATAGTAACAGCTCCGCTACAACGGTAACAGTTCCGTTACAACGGTAACAGCTCCGTTACAACGGTAACAGCTCCATTACAGTAGTATCGGTTCGTTACAACGGTAACAGTTCCGTTACAACGGTAACAGTTCGTTACAACGGTAACAGCTCCGTTACAACGGTAACAGCTCCGTTACAACGGTAACAGCTCCGTTACAACGGTAACAGCCCCGTTACAACGGTAATGTTCTGTTACAACGGTAACCGCTCCGTTACAACGGTAACAGCCCCGTTACAACGGTAACGGTTCCGTTACAACGGTAACGGTTCCGCTACAACGGTAACGGTTCCGCTACAACGGTAACAGTTCCGTTACAACGGTAACAGTTCCGTTACAACGTTATTAGTTCCGTTACAACGGTAACGGTCCGTTACAGGCACTAAACGGTACGTTGACCCACAAGCACAACTGCTTCTCCCTTCTATGCCATATTTTTCTCATTCATTTCGCAGTGCAGGCACGAATAACATTATAACAACATTTTCCTTGTTTTCTCTGCTTTCTAACTTGTTTTCTTTGCTTTTTCCTTGTTTTCTTTGCTCGAACATGTGAGTTAAGTAGGCTATTAAGCCTATTATATAATAGGCATAGCCTATTATATAATAGGTTATGTGAGTTAGTAGGCTATTATAAAAGTTATTATAAAAAATAGGATAAATCTGTCCGTGAAGTTGGCGCAGGAACCTGGTATGAATGCAGGTAAGAATAGCATTACATGTAATACAGGTAAGAATAGCATTACATGTAATACAGGTAAGAATAGCATCACATGTAATACAGGTAAGAATAGCAGCGTATCCAGGATACTTATCGTGTCGGGATATATAGGGGCTGTTGGGGCGCGTATCCAGGATACTTATCGTGTCGGGATATATAGGGGCTGTTGGATATTTAATAGTGAGGCCTTGCGAAACTGGAAGGATAGGAGGGCGCTAAATAAATGTAATTTGATTTGTAAATTTGTGAAAACACATGAAAATTAATATAATTTAAATTATAAAAGCAAAATTGTTATTATTTTCTAACGATAGTCAATTAGAAGTTTTATGTTCCATGCAAAATGTGGGTGTGAAGAGGTCTTTCTTTAATCACCATTCACTAGCTTTATTATATATTATTTGGGGGGCACAGAATCTCGTGATTCAGAAAAACGCACTTAAGCGGAATGTAGAAGTCGGGATTCTAAAACTATGGGGATTACCAATTCCGGAAAAAAAACGGAATAATATGCTGGCATTACGTTTGTACATTAAAGAATTGACGTAGCTTTTTATAAGGCCGGCAACCATATGGCAGGATGGGCGACACGGTAAAAAAAAGGTTGAAAATGACGAGCTGAACACTGGTTAAAAATAACAACATATCATTTCCGAACATCGTTGCAAGAAATAGATTTATAGTCAAATTTTAATAAAATGGAAAGTTTTGAAAATGAAATAAATATTATTATAATAATACGTAGAAGTTATTAATAAATTAGTTTAGCTCACCCTCTTTGGAACGACATTCGGCATGAGGAGAGGGAACCTCTTCAAGACATCTTTGTCAGCTGATGCTATAGCAAATCCTAATGATAAGAATATCCCGAAGGCCAGAAGACCTCGGAATAGAGCCATCCTGGAGAACGTTCAGGTACACAGCACTTCACCTCTTGGAAGCTGAACGCTTACTGGGTCTGGATCTGGATGCGTAGGCCGCAGAGCAGTGAGCGGGCCTGGAACTATACTTAGATGAAGTAATCGTGTGCAGCACTAGCGTCCTCTATGATTGAAATTGAAAAGATGAGCAATATCCATTCAAATATTAAAGATTAGTTTGCTATAAGTGCACAATAAATCTGCGAGAAGTTGGTTGAGCTCCTATTAAGCTCTTTTTTTCTCCAGCTGAAATCTGGCCTGAATCAGAACGATGACGCCACAATTTCCCGCTGCGAGTGGTAGACTAGTAGTCGCTGATCAGCCAGAGTGATTTCTTGATAAGTTTGTAGTCTTCTTGAAACCAACGCCCCGAAGACTGAGCATTGCACCCACGCATTCAACGCGTCCTGGATGAGCCGACGCTGACCTGACCGGAATAGAAACAAAAGTCTTCACTCAGATACGTTTCACTTATTCATGTGTCAATGATTTGATACTATTTTCCGTGATTGTGTATTTATAATAAGATTTATTAGCTTGGAATCCCCTAAATGATAACAGATTTAAATCACGAATTAGTAATAGCATTTATATACTTTTCTAAGAATGACGTAAATATTAGGTATCCATCAATGACAGTCTAAAAATTATTTTATTAATTGAAACAATTCTTTACGATAATTTGATTTTTTGACATAGTTGGACTATTTTGACTATACATTTTTATTATTTTAATATCCGTGACTGCGGATAGTTCCGTAGCTCTGCAAACGTCATCTGTCAAAACAGCCCCTAGGTATTCGGCTATTCCCGGTTGTGCAGTCAAAGTGGTAAGTTGTGCGGTGTTTTTGTTGCTGAGATGATTATAAGTGCGAGTACAAATCTTTATAAAATGGTATTAGAATAGACGAATAGTAATACTTTTGTATGGAAATAGGATTAATTGTTAAACTTATCTTCAGTAGAGTAGGAACATCATCTGAACATGCAACTGCAAGTTGCAACATGGATCCTCATCCTATTCCTAACCCACTGACCAGTGCCACCGGGGCGGCGACGCCGTGGCGTAGCTAAGTGAATTTTTTTTTGCTGAGCGAGGTTAACCGTAAATGTAATAATAATTCTTTGTTGTTATTAGATATTTTTGTTAACTTGTGCCTTTGCTAGCAGATAAGCTAGCTGAGGTTAAACTGTAAATGCATTTTTACTTTTTAGGGGTGAGATAGGCAAATTTTGTCAATGGCGTTTTCAAGCCAACACCTGTACGTACCGGAAACCTTACTTTTTTTCTAAATAGTTGGCTGAAGACTGAGAAATATATTAAATGCAAGAATTTCAATCTAAATGTGTCGGCAAGATCTTCTGAAGGCGAAAATTTTGCCGATAATGCGTCGCCGTAGGTCTTTAAATTTTCGTTCACTCTCTGCACAGTGGACTGTATTTTTATGGGTGTCCCATATTACCCTGGGGGGGGTGGTGTCCTGGATTACCCGTCATGTGGAAATGGCTACATTTTTTTTGGAATGAGATATGCAAATTCTGTCAATCACATTTTTAAGCCAACACCTGTGTGCAACTTTTATGTAAGTAAAATTTTTTAATTTGGCAAATATTTTTTTTTTGCTACAGACCTTAGCAGAGGTAGGTTTCCAAAATCTCACTTTTCACACTTTTTTCAGGGATTTTTCAAAGGTTGTAAATGAATGATTTCTCAATTTGCTTTATGCTACATAGGTAGCAAAAATATTGAACTTTACGCCAATATTTTTAGTTTTGCAATATTTTGATTATTTTAGCTGCTACAACATTTCTATGAAATTTGGGACGACTGTCCTGATTTTCCCCACCCATCCCTTATTACCCCATTTGGAGTACATATCTTTGCAGGGCATCAACAATCAAATTCATTTCTCATGCTGAAAATACCACCAAACTTTACTACAAAATCGAATTCAAATATACTAATAGCATATTCAGTAGTAGTGGTATTAATATACTTAATATAAAAGTATTTTGTAGTATTTGAAAATACTACCAAAATAGGGACTTTCTCATTTTGAAAATATATACCAAACTGGAAAATTAGAAATTGGAGAGAAGAATGATAGAAATTCTGGAAATAAGACAAAACTCCCATGCCTGTACACTATTTTACCCAATCCTAGGGCCCTTGTTTATTATATTCTGTGCAGAGAAAAATGGCTTATTATTGCCTGCAACTTTTAAGATTACCTACCCATGATATGATTGTTCTTATCAAAAATTTTGCAAAATATTCCGGATTATACAATATTTGAATGACAAATATGCTAGAATGTTTATTTTAAAAGCTGGTTCAAAGACTGATATCTGACAATATTTTGTTTTCAACAGAAAATGTCAACCTTCTCTGCTCATCCAAATGAAATCAACAAAGTGAAAGTTTTGGTGGTTGGTGATTCTGGCAAGTTAATATTTGGAATTTAAAATTCTTTTTAGTTTTCTCAAATTATTATAATTTTAGTAATTGTTACCTGTTAATTATCTTGGCACATTTGGTTATCAAATTTGTGAATTAAATAAAAAAATTATATGATATTTATTTGTATTTCTGTGGAATAAGTGAGTTAGATTTATGTATTTTCACAGGGGTTGGCAAGACATCCCTTGTTCATCTCCTGGTGAATGGTGAAGTACTCACAAAATCCTCATGGACAATAGGTAAGCTTTCTTAGGTGTGTAATATTTATATATGCATGTCTAAGTGTTATTTGAACGAAATTTATTGCTTTTCTTAAGAAATGAAATCAAGCTATTCCTCTACTAGAAGTTAGATCATGTTTATTTTCTAGACCGTTAAAAATTGTTTCCTTTTTTAGATAATGCATTTTCCTCTAATAAATTTATGAAAAAGTAAATTTTTAAATGTCAGACAAACTAGAGTTGAAGATTTCAGGTGAACTTGAATTATTTTCATGTTTCCATCTTATGTATTCAGCACACCTTAAGGAATAAGTATCCATTGCATCCAGTATTGAGCCAGTATTGCATCCAGTATTGCATCCAGTAATAAGTAATACTGAATAGGTACCAGTGTTGCATCCAGTAATAAGTATCCAGTATTGAGCACACCACATGGAATAAGTATCCATAGCATGCATGGTACAATGAATTATTGCAAGTAAAATTTCTAGGTTGCAGCGTTGAGGTCAAGATCCATGAGTATCGGGAAGGTTCTCCGGGTCACCGACCATATTTCGTGGAGCTCTGGGATATTGGTGGCAACAACAGCCATAAATCTACACGCCACTTGTTCTACACTTCAGTTCATGGTACTCATTTATTTTTCTGTTGGTAATTTTGCAGTGAAACATATCATTTATTGATATTATGAAAAATATCATTGTCAATCAAATTTCTGTGTACAATTCAGTTCATGATGCACTTTCTTTTCTTTTCTGAAGTTGAATTTCTGGTAGAACATTAAATTTACAGCTACACTTCAGTTCATGGTACACTTTTATTTTTCTGTTGGTAATTTTGCGGTAAAACATACATAGCATTTCGTGATATTTTGCGGTTTATTATAAATATCATCATCAATTAAATTTCTTTGTACACTTCAGTTCATGATAGACTTTTCTACTGTATTTGAATTTGTGGTAGAACATTATATTTCTGGTTACACTTTGGTTTATGGTTCACTTTTTTCTATACTTGAATGTGAGGTAAGACTTATAATTTTTTCTATTATTCAGTTTATGCTAAATTTCATTAGTATTTATTCCACATTGTACCTGTTCAAAGCAAACTAATGCTGATGCAGTTAAACTGTAATGGTTACTGTCTGAAAAAATGATTGCTATTTCTTGTAGGTACCTATATTTATGTTCATGTATGTAGTATCTTCGTGTGCAGGATGGTACATGAAAATTTAAATTTTTTAAATTGATCATTTGTATGAATTTTTTCAAATTCATTGAAAAAATTCATTCATTGAACCTGCTGAACCGTCTTCCATGAACAAAAGACATATTAAAATTGGTTTCATTTTCATTCTTATTAAATATTGACATTTCTTTTATTCATTTACGTTTTGTAATGTTCCTTGAGGTGATTTCTTTGACTCTGTGACTTATAAAAAATATTGCTGTCTTGTTAGAGGTTGTTAGCAATCTTAGCAATAGTATATGCCACAGAAATAACCTTTTACGATTTTATCCATCTGAAGTAAGATGCAATAATAAAGCTTCAATAAACTATGAATTTCTATGCCACAGAAACAACCTTTTAAGATTTTATCCCTCTGAAGTAAGACGCAATAATAAAGGTACAATAAACTATGAATTTCTATGCCACAGAAATAACCATTTTATGATTTTATCTCTCTGAAGTAAGACTCAATAATAAATTAATCAAGGTTCATTAAATGATAAATTTCTATGCCACAGGAATAATCTTGGTGCACGATCTTGCCAACCGTAAAAGTCAACAGAACTTGAGGCAGTGGCTGGTTGAAGTTCTGCTCAAGGAGAAAAGCAACCCGGGCTCCAGGGACGCTTTGGTTGATAACTTCGACGCTGAGCAATTTGGTGCCTTGGCTAAAGTTTACAGAGCTAATAAGGTTATCAATTATATATTGTTTATGTTAGGGAAATTTTAATAATTTATTAAAAATTAAAAAAAGGAAATTATTGTTATAGAATCAATAATATTTACCTGAGCAATTTGGTGCTCTGGCTAAAGTTTACCGAGCCAATAAGGTTATCATTTATGTAATGTTTATGTTAGGGGAAATTTTAACAATTTATTCAAGCATCATATAAAGTTTATTCCACCAGTGATATAAATAATTATAAAATTGTTATAAAATTAATAATATTAATAAAACCTTTATTCCTTCAGATCCCAGTGCTGGTGGTGGGGACGCGTCTGGATGACCTGGCAGAGACCCGCCCCACTGCCTCCCTCCCCCGCACCTCCCCAGCCTTCTCTGCCTCCTCCCTGGCAGACGCCTGCAGTGCTGATGAACTCAGTGTTGTGCGTGTGCTGTGATGTGCTGTGCTGTGCTGTGATGTGATGTGTTGTGTGCTGTGCTGTGATGTGCTGATGAACTCAGTGTTGTGCGTGTGCTGTGATGTGCTGTGTGCTGTGCTGTGATGTGTTGTGCGTGTGCTGTGATGTGCTGTGATGATAAACTCAGTGTTGTACGTGCGGTGTGATGTGCTGTGTGCTGTGCTGTGATGTGCTGATGAACTCAGTGTTGTACGTGCGGTGTAATGTGCTGTGTGCTGGGCGTGATGTGCTGTGCGTGTGTTGTGCTGTGCTTCCCTATCAGCCTCCTTCACCTGCTCCTCCCCAGCCTTGTAATTGGCAGACGCCTGCCGTGCTGATAATAATAATAATAATAGCGGTTTCAGCGTTATTAGGCCGTAAGCCTGTCGCCGATTCTTAACATTCACAGAACCGCAGAACATTCACAGCATGTTGCGGTCTCGAACTCACAACTCACTGCTACAATTCTGTTATGCTTAACCGCCCGGCCTCCTCGCCGATTCTGACCAGGAACTGGCGCACAGAGCTGGGATCGAACCCGCGCCTCTCTGCGCCAATCTTGGTACTCATTTTATTTCCGCAGAGCTGCCTGGACGTGCGGTCTGTGGCCCCAGGGTCGGGAAACGCTGTGAAATTATCGCGGTTTTTTGACCGCGTCATCGACGGCCAAATTCACTGCAATGGCCGGCCGGGGCCGCTCTACTCCGGCCAACCAAACTACGGCCTTAAAATGAGATATCCTTGACATTTATAGGCAGGCTTATGACTTTGTTTGAATATTTTTATACGTGAATGGGATACCCTTGACAATAAAATTTAGGTTTATGACTTTGTTAGATGTATTTTTTATTGAATGAGATATCCTTGACATTTATAAGAAGGCTTATGACTTTGTTAGATGTATTTTTTATTGAATGAGATATCCTTGACATTTATAAGAAGGCTTATGACTTAGTTTGAATATTTCTATGCTTGAATGGGATACCCTCGACAATAAAATTTAGGCTTACGACTTTGTTGAATATTTTTGTGTTTGTTCAAATGTTATTTGAATGAAGGGACTGATGAATTTCTTCATCATGTTTATCTGATTTTCATCATAATAATTATAATAACTTCACGATATCTATAATGACTCAGGACTACTACCAAGTTATTTAAATTAATCATGTCAAGCTTCACTGTTCCTTAAAATTTCATTTAAGCTCAAACTTAATGAGAAATACACCCATACACCCTTTACAATAGTTTTTCATGTACATTTTCATTTCAAAGTCATTCTTATCTTAACTGTTAGTTTCACAAGCTAGAATTATTATGAATTTTACCTCAATACACGTTGAATAAAGTGTATTACTATTGTTTTTAGTCAATGCTTCCATTGATACCATTAAATCAATATTGAATTATATTGACTAGTTGATATTAATACCATTCCATACCATTAATCTAATTGAAACTCAACGATTATTGCACTGATTGAGGTGGATAGACTCGTATGTGCGTATTATTATGGTTGTTGATTTGAATACGTTGTATTTCCATATTAATATTATTATGGCTATTTTCTGTGCCAACAAATTCAAATGATATGTATACAGCAATAGTCAGAAATGACTAAATTCTTTGTAATCTAGATTATCGAGACAAGAGACTACTTCCTTTTTTGACACTCGAGTGAGCTTTTTCTGTTGTTCAAGTTCCTGGAACTTTCTATATAATATACTAACTAGATTTAATTCCTTGAAATTATAGATGGAAATACGATGTATGTTATTTTAAATGTAGACCTTACTTGTTTTTATCAAAGATTTTTAAAATATATTCTGTTTTAGCAATGACGCTCCTGCCTTCTTTTTGTAGCATAGGGCGGTTTGCATATGAGTAATCATGACATTTATTGCTAAACAACTAGGTACTATTTTCAAGTCTTTTGTATACATTTTTTAAGTAAAGTATTTTTTACCCCGAATTTTATAATCCTAGTCCAGAGATCAGAGTATATTCGAACAAACGCTCTGCAGAGATTATACTACCATAGAAGTTAATGATGACTGTTGAAAATTCCGAAATTAAGTACTAATACTAATTTTACTTCTACGATAGTGCCGGTTGTTGAGGGACTTTGCTCAAAAATTTCCAATTTGAGGAATTTCAATGTTACGAATAAAGAATGTTGAGGTTGTGCTTGATCTTATTTTCTTATCACTTGTCAGTGCAGGTTAGTAATTCGCTGATGATATCTCGATGAGTAAAAAAATAGTGATATTACAGATGACAGTGCTTTGTACGTTATATCAAATGGAGGCCTTGATCGTTTCTATCAAAGATTTTCAATATATACGCTGTTGTAGCAATGACGATCCTGCCTTGTTTTGGCAAGTTGTTGATAAAAACTAAGTCCAGGCGAAGCATGATATGCATATCCGAATTGATAATATAATGTCAGAAATTGTGGCCCAGGCAGAGTGGTCCAGTGGTTAAAGTTCAGAGTACCAGGATTGGCGCAGAGAGGCACGGGTTCGATCCCAGCTCTGTGAGCCAGTTTCTGGTCAGAATCGGCAAGGAGGCCGAACGGTTAAGCACAGCAGAATTTGAATCAGTGAGTTGTGAGTTCGAGACCGCAACAAGCTGTGGATGTTCTGCGATGTTAAGAATCGGCGACAGGCCTACGGCCTAATAAAAGCTGAAACCGCTATTATTATTATATTGTGAATCAATCATTGGCTGAGAATATTGCAATGGTTGCAACCATCATATAGTCTAATCTGTAGCGGGATCCAAAGATGTTCATGAACTTAGGTAGAATTTGACTGTACAAATTTGAATTCGACTTCTTGATAAAAATACGAGTGTAGCCAGTTCAAAAATTTTGCATTTTTCCTTTTATTTTAGGAAAATTTTGAATTTCAAAAATTGATTACAAATCACACTCAAATCTTGCACTCCATATCTGCGCTTCAATTTAAAGAGGGAAAAGGGCAATTAAATGCAAATAAAATTGAAGCTACTCATAGCGGCATTTTTAGGTTAAAAATATTCTATTTGAGGTAAGGAGTTGTCTGCAACTCCCTCGATGCAAATTTCATTCAGTGTAGCTGTAGCAGCCGATGTGTGTGGATGTGCTGGCCATATTATCGTAACTCCTCTCGTAGGTGTGGTTCTGTCCCATTCTTTCATGTTGTTGTTTCAAAGATCTTTTTATATTATCTTAAACATTATTGAACAGATGAATAATAGTTTAGCAATTTTTTTAACGAATAAAACTGTTACTTTTTGCGAAAATGAGAATTTTGGTGTAAACTGTAGACGTGCTGTACACTTGGTGGATGCGTTTAAAGAGGTAGTCTCGTATCGAACGCTTCAGCGGGGTGGTGGCCGAGTACCGCTGCAAATGTCTGCTTGTCATCGGCTATAATATTTTATGTTTGTCCTATTCATAGAGGCTCAAAAAGTGTAATGTAGTCTGATATTACTAAAAATTGTATGATCACAATTAATATTCATGCCATTTTATAGGCTCCCAAGCTGCAATTTCATCATGTTTAAATAGAGTTCTACACGCAATTGACGCAAAGTCGCCCTAACACTTTACCTAATACTAATAGCGGCAGACATTTACGAAAATCGTAATAGAAATAATTTTCAATGGCGTTTGGTTTTAATTTTATGTGATGAGCTGGTTTGCTTGATGCAGTTCCAACTGACGACTTTACAATGAAGAATGAACTACAATTATAATTTACAGATTAGGCTTTAGTTTTTGAGTTTCGACTTTAGTTACCTATTGAGAAAATGAAATTGATGTGACAGCCTCTCCTGTTCTTTTGTCTAAAGAAATTATGCAAGGGTCATAGTAATGAATGCGGACGCCAATTCGCCAAATGATAATTTTTTAGTTGCCCACTTCATTTTTAATATACTAATTAACCAAAAAAATCCAAATTTGATGTATGATAATTCAATTTCCAGTATACATCATTAATAACATTATTGCTACATTGCTACAATGCTACTCTACTGGTCTACTTGCAGGAATCAAAGGGAAATTAAGCTATTCTGGAAAACCAAGCAGCCACCTTATAACGCCAAGTGCTTGCAATGAATTTTCCCCATTTTTGCTTGTGATTATTGAAAGTTTCCTGTCCCTGTGAAATGGTAGTTTTTACCTGCGATTTTTGGAAAATTTGGCCCTATATTCTAAACTGGCATACACATACTGGGCATTGCCATTTATAGGATAATGAATAAAGTTTTGAAATATATCAGAAATTTTGAGTAAAAGAGTATATAGATATGATGCTATACAGAAACTCTTTTAATTTTTTGAGTTCCATATTTTTACTATTATTCTTTGGACCATCTGAGTAAATTTGTCAGCTCAGTTATTTACAAATAATGAATTTTTGCAATTATGTAATGTTTGACAAATGACAATATTATTTTATATGCTAAGTAATAAGGAAAAAATTATCTTTCAACAATAAAAACCATTTTCATTTCTTTTGATGAAGTCAATGAGGTGAAGAGAACAGGTGAAGTGAATGATGTGAAAAATTCCTGAGGATAAGGAATTAAATATATATAATCAGCTGAATTTAAAAAATAAATCTTTTCTCATTAAACTTTAAAAATTATATCCTGATAAATATTGTCTTTTTATATTGTGAATGTAAGACATTAAAGTTGCCTTTAAGAAATCTATTCTGGCATTATAAAATTGCATAGTGTTATTTTAGTGGGTAAATTAAGTAGGTTAATAATATTTAAGCTAAGCTTGGATTATTAGATCAATTAATCCTAGATCCTCAGCTGCCAGATAATTAATTATTCATGATATAATATGACTTGCTTATGTGTCAATACTGGTAGGTACTCATTCCTATGCTGAATGGCTGTCTCTGTGTTAGGTTTTGCAGCAAAAAATTTGTTTAAATATTTTTCCTAATATTTTGAATATGTTCCTCCTGCAGTGGTTTTTGTAATAATTTGAAATGCTAAAAATAAATGAAAAGAACGCAGGTCGTTGGATGAAAATAGCCTTGGCAATTTGATAACTGCTATAGGGGACAGCTGGTGGGCTGTTGATGGAGTGTGTGGTCAGTTGCCAGTGAAAGTTTACTACACTCACACACCCGCCACTGTTGTTGTTGGTGCCACGTTCAGTGTGTTGTGTTGGTGTGGTAGGTTGGTGTTAGTGGCTGACTGACTCGTGTGAGAGTCGTCAGTCTTTGTTCTCTAAAAAATTAAATTCCCTGGTGTTTCTCGTGACAAGTTGATAATTTCCTCAAGAAGAGTATTGAGTGATTAAGTGGTTAGCAGGTTCTCATACCATTGAGAACCTTTTATTTTTAATTGAGATTTGTGTTGCCAGTTTGTTAAGATTCCGTGGTCAGTGAATTGCGTGAACATGGGCTGTGCTATGTCAGCTGAGGAGCGCGCTGCGCAGGCACGCAGTCGGGTCATCGAACGCACCCTCAAAGAAGACGGCCTGCAGGCGGCTAAGGACATCAAGCTGCTACTGCTCGGTCAGTTAAATGCTTATTTTTTATGTTGCTTCTCCTGCTAAGTTAATAAATACTTGATGCTAACTACTTCTGTTGCTACTCCTGCTAAGTTAATAAATACTTATTGCTAATTACTTCTGTTTCTACTTCTGCTAAGTTATTATTAAATACTTATAGCTTGTTTTCTCTTGCTTCTTTTACTAAGTTGGTACATACCGGTACTGACAACCTATTCATTTGTGAGTTTGTCTTCATATCCTATCAATTACTGCTGCTGTGAAGAAATTTTTCTTATCCTATAATTAGTTTA